AAAGATGGATCGCCTCACCGGATTTCATACTCTGAGTTGAGTAGTTCCTATTTCAAACCCTTGCCACCGGTTGAGTGGCTTCTGGTACGGAGGCCAACTTCACTGGAGGGAAGGTTTCGTGTGAAATATTTCTTTTAATGAATGTTGCTCCCTCCGACGAAAATAACCTTGCTCGATGTAGGGCAAATCTTCCCACTCGTGCTCGTGTGTAATGTTTCTTATTGCCATTGGGCCGATTTTATCTGTCAATACTCCACTGAGTGCATGACAGCATCAAGGATTTTTGTTTAATGAAAACGAGTTTGTGGCAAAATCGGAAACTGATTTAACCTGCACAAGTGAAGAGAAACCGGAATAAGTGTGGGATAACCCCATTCGTTTTTAACAACAGGCGGTGAGTGTCTGCCCATAAGTACCAACGTGGTCGTACATGTTTCCATGCCCAGTGCCGACGATCAAATGGACATCGCTGGACGAAAGATCTTCTTGCCCTCACAAGGGATTCATCTTACTCGATGTACGGATGAGGCACCATAAAGATCTGAATAACGGACTCCTGATTATATATATATATATATATATATATATCCAGAAGTGTGCTTGTCAGCAGCTATATCAGTACATGACGATGGATATCAAAAATTACTAGAATACGTTGCATCTAGTTCTAATACAAGCTGAGTGACGACAAACGCGCTTCTCTGTTTCGTGTTGACCAACTTATCCGAGGTTGTCCGAGCCCTTGCCAGCATTAACGACACGACGTTGTGCTGCATTACCACAAACAAACGCGTTAACCGGTGGTGGTCTGAATAGTACGAAAATTGCAGCCGAACATGATTTTGTTTTGTCATTCTTGTGGTTCACACTTCTCTGGAAGGTTGCTCACTTGTCTTCCATTATCTATGATCTTTGCGCTATCTTCATCACAACTTTCTTTTCCCTTGTAGATCATGGACGATATTGCCGAACTGAACGCGACCACTTTGCATTTCTGACGTGCCGGATGCATTCTCTTGCCTTGGTTCATTCCCAGTTTGTTTGTATATTGAATCAATAAAATTACTACTAAACATGCTTTCCTCAACTTTGACATCGGCGCCCAATATACCAGATGGGCTTATATCCTGTACAACGATGTCCACTTCGAAGCATATTTTCGTCACCTTAATCGATTGTTGTAAACATGTCGTTATATGCCATCATTTTGAGGGAATTTCGTGATATCGGTACTAGTTCTTCGCTGTTTTCTCCGAATTCACTTTGTTTCTCCGACACCGCTAGAAAGCCCGAACAAGCCACAGGGAAATTGCGAATTAGGAGTCTTTTTTCATCTGCAAACTTTGCATCCAGAATTGCTTAAGAACAGTGCATTTGATGGCTATACTGTTCAGGCACCTTCAAGATTGTCTTCATTGCTGCTACATGGTAGATGAATCTTCATTGTTTGGCTAATTCATATTTGTGTTATCGTGTCTTCAAGTAGCCCGTCGGTGAGACTGGCAAACCACAATTTATGTGCGGATACTGGATACCAGCGTTTCCCGTTGTCACGTGTTTAGTGCTCCTACACATTCGTTAGGAGGCAACGTTTATCATTCATAAGAATACCGAACCTTTCCAGACATCTCACTATTTACAAAAAATACACTTTAGTAGCTTGTGGTGAAGTTTCTAAATTCTTACCTAGATTTTTCTGTGTTGTATTTTGTTTCGGATTGTATCATTGCCATGGTCGTCGGAATCTCACTGAGATTATCAAATCCATCCATCAGCTGCACTGCCAACTCAGTTCCCGATAGTTGATACCCACCGGCACCCTATTCCAACCTTGTGTGACGTACTTAGCCCACCACCAGCATGATTTCCTTTTTGGCAGTCACCACTCTGTTATGCAGGCTGTCAATCTTGGTGCATCTAGCAATCATCACGATCTTGCTAGTAATGTGTGGACTACCTCGAATCTATTTCTAATCGCTCCGTGATCTGATCTAAGTCGAAACAGACTTTAGGGGGACATCGTTTTTCTGAGATAAAGAGACATCCTATGGTCAGTCAAGGGATATGAGGCGTTGGGAGATTACTTATGAGTAACTTCGTTCTTTTAATATGTACCCCCATCTCGCTATAAAATACCCCTCCATGTGTGCACAAGTAATGTGCGTAACCTGCTTGAAGATGAGTTATTGTTCTGCGTGCTTCAGCAGATCTTCTATTTGTCAGAACCGAGTATCCTCACCAGAACCTGAAGACCTCAAAATATACTCAAATTTACTTCCCGCCCACATGTTATTGCAAGACAGGATGGGACCGGACCCAGTGCTTTCAAGTGAACTGATCGGTGTTGTTGACGAGTCCGTAGATCCAGACCGTTGCGCCACTGTCTGTCACCGGATCGGAAGTAACTAGGCATTCGAAGAAGTTCTTTTTTGTCAAAGTATCTTTATGGCTTTCAGTTAGCACTGGCGCGTGTAGAAGAGAATATATGGGTATTAAGCACGGTCATTACTATCAGAAGTCGAAAAGGTCCCGGTATTTGTTGACTGGGGTCTAAACCATCGGTCGATTCAACGACTACTACCGGGGCGCGCTCAATAGTGTTGAGCGCAATGATGAACCGTTTTGAATCGCAAGGAACTTTCATTGAAGCCAAAAGGTAAACAGTCTACAGCTCCCTGGTGATCATGTGGTAGTTGATCTGTTTGTCGAGCTTGGTAAATGGCTCACAAGCCAATAAACTCACCCAGGCTACCAATATTTTGACATATTGCCAACAGGTTAACACGTGTTACACAGTTGTCGTAAACGCCACATGTACTGTCAGTTTTGTTCGTTGTCTTATGAGGCGTGACTTCACGTGCTCTTAGTTACCGACACGTGCTAGTCACTTCCTTATTTCTACCTGCTGATGAAAACTTACTCTAGCACTTTTGCTCACTTCGTGGTGATGTGTCTATACCACATTCTAGCATGCAGGTTTCTCGGTTGAGTTCTCCGCCCTTATGGCTTTCGTCTGGAAGCAACCTGTGTAGACTGAGTAGTGTACTTTACCGTCTCAAATCCTTCCGAAGGCCACGTGCCGAAACTGCATCTACTTGGTGTCTTGCTTCATCAAAAAGGTGCCACATGTTTGTTTACTAGGTAGAATGTGTGTTGCTGAGTCGGTCGCCAGGGATCGAAAATAGACAAGTAATCGGTGTAGTTGTGCCAGGCTCGGTGCTTCACAACTCGCTCTTTCTCGGTAACTCAAGGTCATTGACAGGTTCCAACCACCCTCGCAGCTGCACTAAATTATAGTGACCTAGAAAAAAAGCAGGCCATGCTGAAGAGGATTTAATTTTCATGGATCAAAAGTATACTGGTCCATCCGTCACGACTTGTATTTAAAGGCGGGCGTCAAAATTGTCCCGCAAGTCAGTTGCTTCTAAATTCTCCCAACCGTTTTGCGTAGCTCAGGTGAACACGCGATGAAAGTGAGCAAACACATAGCATGCAATAAGCCCCTTCAGAAAGGAGGCCACAAAACGATACTCTGGCAATCTCGAGTTGGTATGAAATATCCCCAAAGAGGTGACACCCCTTTCGAAAGCCAAGAGACTTTTTCAAGTGGTGTGAGGAAATGTATCAACGTAGCTTGAATGGTCCAGATGACCAAGGTAGCATTTCATCGGCGGTAAAACAACATTTTGGGGGACGTACTGCTGTAGCAATCAATACAGTACTTCAATTAAATTGTACACTCGAATGTATGAGGATATCGTTGAAACAATACCGTGACCTCCAGTCTCACTTCAGCCATGAGGGACGAGGCACCGCTAGGGACAATTGAAATTTCGTCCTCTCAGTAAATCCAACCTATGCTGAGAAGCGCCATACAGCTTTTTCGTTTCCATCGGGAGTCATCAGCAGTGCGCATCTTACGAACACATGACCTTATGTCCAGTAACAACACTTGACTGTCCAGCCGACATTTGTTAACGGACACCAGTCAGCCGAGAGTGGTTGGCTGGTGTCCGTTAACAAACCTCTTGAGCTCGAGGTGGCTAAGGCTACTAACTGACTAGAAGGTTTGAATCCAGTCTGAGCATTTCTACTGCTCCTGCTTAGATTTCAGCGACCGATTAGTATCGTAACACCCATGTCACCTCTTCAAGCAGGATCTCAGCTATGCACCGAATAGGGTATTTATTGCAGCTGAATTGTTATAATTATCAGTTTGCTGTTTGCGGCGTTGGTACTTGAACAGATTCAGTTCCTGGTTTCCCCTCACGGTTCGCTAATGTAAGGCTCCGACCAACAGCTTAGACTTTTTCATTCCGACCAATAGATGACCTCAGGGCTAGTCCTACTTTAAATTAACACCAACAAAAAAATCTTTCGGTCTTCTATTGCACATGCAAAGCCCGTGGTGTCCTTGTTCCAAGAAAAACAGCGTCAGAAGTGGCTTTCTAGTTGTTCTTGTTTGCCAAAAAGTTACGAAATGCCTCAATGTCGCGATGGGTTTCGACATCTAAGATCGGGCTGCTGTACACCAAACAACGGCCCTGTAGGAACAGCGAGATTCACACAAAATGGTCGTACACCGGTGATGACTAGTGGTCAAGGCGGGTAATATGTTCTAACCTGGCCTGTCGACGAATTTTCAGCAACCTTATGAGTAGTGCATTACGAATATACATGTATCGCGATATCTCGAATATCGTAGCGACTGAAACACTAGGCGGCCTGGTGCAGCACATTCAGTTGCCTGGAAACATCACAAACGAGAGATTTAGCTGGGTGAATCTCTCGCAAAACCAAATTTGTTTGCAAATGAGTGCACTTCGCTAATGTTCCAAACTTATCCTGAACAGCTTGCGTGCAACAAGGATTCTGGGGTTGTGCATCAGTGCGTTATCCGTACAATTAGCCAAGATTATTGGTAAATGCTACCGCAGAATTTTTTTCGCTATTTTGCTGAAAGTCACCTAAGATTTAGTCAATCTATTTTTGTTTGAAGCTGAGCTTTATTGTTGATTCCGTCCAAATATGAGATGTACAAGTGGAGTAGGACGATTGAGCGCATGACTGTAATCGCATGACGATTTATCTTCTAGCAAAGAAAGAAGCAAAAATCCCTTCAGACGGTGAGGAGAAGAACCATATGACTGTGCTGAGTATAATCGATTTAATGAACTATACCGTAGTTAGACTGAAACCAACAGAGAACACCTGCGTTGTTGAGACCCAAAATAACTCAAAGATACGTTAACCTCGCCTACTACAAAAGATAACAAATCGTCCTTTTGTGGAGAGTAGACTGTCGTGTTGACTTAAGTGTTTGTCTGGGTTCAGAGTTTAGTCGAATTTTTCAGTTCTGTTTAAACGAACTTTGTGACTCTTCACTATGCCTACACAAATGCGACTGAGTTTCATGCTTCGATATTTGGGCACAATGGGATATTCAACAGAAATATTACAGTAATACTGTACTTATTGAAAAACTGTTCGAAAATTATGTGGAAATGATTTAACTTATCGTGAATTGTGTTGTACAAATGTCACAATAAGATGAATTGATCAAACTGAAAAAATTGGAGTACTGTGGACTTGACGGGGTACCAGAGCACGTACACAATCAAATGCGTTAAGTGCAGGGCCTCACGTTCTAATGCACTCCAGAATGGATATAGGACTCAACATGACTGTTGTTCTCAAACATCCCTTGCCAAAACTTCCCGGACATTAATAACAGTAAAAAAGCGACAGGCCAGTACCCAGCTATGTAACAAATATTGTAGTTTCTTGAAATAACCCACTGTTTTGAAGGTTGCTGAAGACTTTCTGGAAGCCCCTCAAATCTAACTGCCCCTTTTAAACCAAGTCAATTTTAAAATGGACGCATTTCATCCCTTGCGCACAACCAGACTTTCAGATGGAATTCAAGGCTGAGGGAAACACAAGGACTGCCGAAGGGCTTTCAGCAACCCTGTAAGCTTTAAATTGTGTGAAGAAAATATACCTCAATATCCCATGTGAACTGAACTATGAGGCGCT